ACACTGAGTGTGGGACATGCTGTAATCTGTTTTTTACTTTTTCTATGACTGCTTTACAGATGTGGCTTCCTAGGATTGCTACACATGGATGTATTCCATCAACGGCTTGAGCAAGTATAGTTCTTTTTGCATAATTTTGATATGTTCATTTTTTTGCTGTTGCATAATTTGTACTCAGGACACACAATACATCAATTGATGTTGGAAAATTAATTAAAGAGCTTCATTCCTAATTGTTATGCTAGTATCTCAATGAAATTTGTAACTTTGAGGTGCTGCCTTTAGAAGCATGAAATATTTTTGCAGAAAAAACTAGAGAATATCTTTTTTTCATGAGGTTAACGGTCCTATATTTGACTAGTTTTAAGTACATTGGTTACCTGTGTCAGCCTAGAAACTCTTCCATTCATTTGAACATATAAGGGGGGAAAATTGGAATATGATGGCAAAAAAGAGGAAATTATAAGATGTGATATAGTCTAAATAATTTGTGTGACCTTTAAATTGCCTTGAGGTTCTGATTGTCACTGTGTTTATTTAGGAATATGGAGCTCAAGTCATATCGACCATACCAACCGTACCTTATATTTTTGAATATGGTGATGGAAGGTGTGCACTCACAATTGTATTTGCTAGCTCGGTTTTCTGGTAGGATACTAAAACTATTAGGTTATTTTATCAGCAAGGTGCAAGTTAAGAACCCTGCTGCTTTGGCTTCGAATCCTGGAAAGCGTGTAGCAGCCTGTTGGGAGCCAACAGTTATTGCAACAATCATTATCCCTAGTGAGTAAGACCTGCTTCCTTTCTCACCTGTTTTCTACATTTTTATTTCAATATTTGAGCATTACAAGTAGAAAATTGTTATCATGCTCAATCACCTTTTCAGGTATGTTGGGCCTGCCATTATGCTTTGTTCAGAAAGAAGGGGCGAACAGCTAGAATATACATTTATCGATGCGTAAACCTTTTTTTCTTCCAAATCTCTCAGTTTTGCTTAAGTGCTCGTCTATTCTTTTTGCTTTTTATTCATATGGCTATTTTTTATGCAGCCAAAGGGCACTGTTGAAGTACCGGTTACCATTGAAGGAGATAATTGTGGACTTCTACAATGAGTTGAAGGGCATTACGTCTGGCTATGCTACTTTTGACTATGAAGATTCTGAGTAAGTCCTGTTGTGAATGAATAACAAGGCATGGTCTGGCTACACCATGGTCTGGCTACACCTTTTTTTTTTCTGGAATTTACAGATGAGAAAAATATCATGTTTTTTATTTCACTTCCTCGTATGCTTTCATCATCATCATTATTTTTTATTTGCAGTCCTTTATATTCTGAAGGTGTTAGTACACCTTTCTGAATTGAGTTTCCTTTTTTGAATCTAGCCTATGACTAGTGATTACATACACAGAGAGCACTTGTCCTATGTATACAAGGTTTTGGAAACATTCTTTTGATCAGATCTGGGATTTTTTGACTTATATTAAGTAATGCATCCATCATCATTTTTGTGAAAATTACTCTTTAAGTGGCTTACAAAAATCTGTTCCAAAGTATAATAGATGATACGAGAAGAAAAATATACTAGAAATTTATGTAGTTTATCATTAATTTATTCCCCTTTTCTCTTTGACAGATACCAACAATCTGATCTAGTTAAGTTGGACGTCCTTCTTAATGGTCAACCTGTTGATGCTATGACAACTATAGTGCATAACCAGAAGGCTCAAGAAACTGCGGGTTGGAAAAGAATTAGTGGAGAAGCTCAAGAAATTTATAGAAAGGTATTCATCAACCTCCTTTTCTTGAACATGTGTACTGTGCTTGAGATATGAGCATCTGTTTGAATACATTACTTTTGGGTCAATATTAATTACACTACAAAAGTGCAATTAGCTGCAAAGGGAATGGACTTGCAAATGAGAATAAATATTAGAGCAGTTTCTTTGGTGAATTTTGCAGAATTTTGCTATGGTCTCATGTTGAATTGCGACATGATTTATATTTGTGCCGCCTAGCATAATTTATTTCATTCTTTTCATGCAGGCAAATGTTTGAGATCACCATACAAGCAGCAATTGGTTCAAAGGTTATTGCAAGGGAAACGTAAGATCTTTGAAGCTGCTATCCATTCATCCAGAACATTCAAGACAGTAGTCTTGAGCATTTTCTGTAATAAACTAGCAAAATTTCTACAACAGGTGGAAAGGGTTTAAAAAACTTTCCAACTAAACCATTCTGTTGGCCTAAAAGATGTACCTGTTCAGTTAATATAAAATTACTACCAATCAGCCTTGGGAAATCACGCGTTTGAGAAAAAGAAAGCCTTGGGAAATCACCTCCAGTCTTGCCCTATCTGGTTGAAGCGTATCTGAAAGGTTTAGGTTTCAACCTGTAGGAAGCTGTCCTAGTTTTAGTGGCATTGTTCTTAGGCACAGTATGAATAACTAAATACATCATTCATTATCAGGTTAACTTACTGTATCTGAAAAGCCGATGGGAGGTAAAAGAGTTGAATAATATGTTGCTGTCACACAGGTTTTGCTTATCTGCTCTCTTTAACCATTTTCAGCCTGTCAGCAATGAGGAAGAATGTTCTGGCAAAGTGCTATGGTGGTGATATTACTCGGAAGAAGAAATTGTTAGAGAAGCAAAAGGAAGGCAAAAAGCGCATGAAACGTGTGGGATCTGTCGACATTCCTCAGGAAGCATTCCATGAGCTACTGAAGGTCTCCAATTCAAAATAGATGGGATCCACTGCAATTGTAGTTTTTGTAGCTGTCCTAATTTTGAAAGTAGCTGTGTGGTGATGACTAGCAACCTCTTCTAGTCTTCTGACAGGTGAGTTGTTATTTATCTGTTGTGCATATCATTATGTTATAAACCGTCAGTAGTTTCTAGAGTTGAATCGCATGAGTTATCTCCTGTCACAGGTCCTAACACAATTATGCCATTGAGTACATAATGGTGCCTGCGCCTGTTAAAAAGTTTACCAGGGACCGAAAAGGCCGAAGCACTGCAGCCTTGTCCTGCTGACCTATGAGCGGAGTGCTGAGCCTTGTGCTGGAAGTTGTTCCTCCTGTGGACTGTGGTGATATGCACAAGGATTCTCAGTCAGCTGGTGCCGACGAATTTCCCATAGCAACCCAGTAGAGCCGCCATTTTGTATTTGTTGATTGATTGATGGAGGAGAAGCATCCTTGAGCACCTTGCTGAACCCAGTTTCCGCTGCTGACTTGATAATCTGCCGTGTGCCCGTGTCACGTTACACTCCATTTTGTCTTAGATAATGGTTTTGAGCAAACACAATAGATCATACACATCAATTGGTCACTGAAACAATGTGGTACATGTAATAAAATAAAAGGAGTTGAATTGAATAAAGATATCTCATGGTTTTGGAGTTTCGGGCGATCATGCTCGTGCCTGCCTTGGTTGTCCTTTTCATCCTGAAATGAACCCCTTGTAGGCTGGTTGTCCTTTCCATCCTGAAATGAACGCCCCTTGTGGCTGAGAGCATCGTTTAGCTCCAAACACACAAGTTGAGAAAAACAAAATAAAAAATTTGCACCAGCCGGGAATCGAACCCGGGTCTGTACCGTGGACCACTGGTGCTATTGTGTTTTGTTTTGACGTGACGCTTTTGTGTGTTTTCTTCTGTCACAAGCCCTACCACAAGTCCACAACTACTCTTTTAGAGAACAGGTTTCCCCCTTAATGTTGATCATAAAGCGTTTCAACAGTTTAAGTTCAAAGTGTATAGGCACGACCGTCAGAAATTAAAGCAAAAAAGGCCTAGAGGCACTCGACTTGACTCCAGTTCACTTTCTCGCTGATTCACATCTGTGTAGACCCACTCCGAAGACTGAACATCCAACAACTCCAATCTTGATTACGCCTCCGGAACTCAGCCGATTCTTGGTGGTTGATTCGCCCACTCATCCAGCTTTTGTATAATCATCTCTATCTTCACTTCCAACTCTTGATTGAACGTTGGCCTCTATCTTCTCAAAGTCTTGGCAATCCAAATCATCACATCTCTCTCCCATCCAAACCATGCCCTGAAAATAAATTTTATTACGAAACTTCCAAAGACATCATAGCACCACAGAACTAGTAATATTAGTCAAAACATGTCTCTTATTCGCTATCTAGCGAGAGAAGCTACCGACTCAAAAGTCCAAGCACAACTATTCCATTGAGTACATAATGATTGCGCCTGCTAAAAAGATTTCCAGAGACCGAAGCACTGCAGCCTTGTCTTGCTGACCTGTGTGAGCTGAGCAGTGCTGCTGAGCCCTGTGCTTGAAGTTATTCCTGTAGCGACATGCACAAGGCTTCTAAGTAATGGATCATATTCATACACCTCAATTGGTCACTGAAACAATGTGGTACATGTAAAATGCAGCGAGTTGAATAAAAATATTTCATGCTCTTTTTTTTTTTTTGCAGAATGACGTGCGATCGAGCCTGGTTGGCCTTTTTCATCATGAATTGAATACACGAGAAAATGTGTTCACGAAATGAAATGGATAGAAATGTATAACATGAGAGGAAGTTGAGGAACACAAAACATAATAATAAGGTAAACAAACACACGGAATGAAAGTGGATGGAAATGTATAACATGAAAAGAAGTTTCTTTTACTATATAAAAAAAACGTGAAAGGAAGTTGAGCAATAATAAATAAAAGCAAAACAATGCACCAGCCGGGAATCGAACCCGGGTCTGTACCGTGGCAGGGTACTATTCTACCACTAGACCACTGGTGCTGTTTTGCTAGCGATTGGCGTGACGATTTTGAAATCTGAATCTCCGTCGGAAGCAGATCCTGCTTCCCCTTGGGCTCTCCGCCACCGGTCCGGGTCGCCGCTCAACTGGTTGGTGCACTTGGCCCGAACGGACTAGTCAAACACAGGCGTCCAGCGGCCTCGCTCAGTCGCTCCCCAGCCGGCCAGCCCCCACCTCTCCTGTTCCCGTGGGCGGCGTCCTCCCGCGCCCATGGCGATCTCGCACCTCCAGCCCGTCGTCATCCTCCTCGTGCTCAGCGCCTTCGCGTCGCTTCCCACGCAGGCCGCCGCGAGAGGCGGCCACGATCCGTTAGGTCTCTCCCTCCTCTTCCCCTCTGTGATGTCGGGGTTGGATATGCATTGCAATGGGGGCGATGATGCCGGTTGGAACTTATAACCGTTCCCCATCGTGTGAAGCGGTGGGTTCCGTGTCCCACTCAGGAGCTTCGGGCACTACGGATCCGGCAGCTCGTTTCGTTTTGGTGGGGGTTTATAGGAATTTTTTTTGATGGATTTCTAGTGCCTCGGATTCAATACAAGTCATTTTGGTAGCACCATCGCTGATTGGGGATGAACGGAGTCGGTGCACGCACAGTGATGCCGGGGATGAGCTAGAATTATAAAAATTCCATGCTCTTCAACACGTGATGTGTGTGTTGACTGTTGAAAAATGAAGACTACGGCCTATTATGTATTTAGCTTATTATTAAAACAATGGTATACATTTTTTGTAATGGCTTGATTAATCAACAAGCTGGAGTTTTGTAGTAGCTTATTTTGTCCACGCTCCATCCAAAACAGATTCATACCCATGCCCTTCTCTGATCTGATCAAGTTATTCTTATCTTGAGTTCTTGACTAACCTCAGCGTCTATCTGTTTGATTAGACATATTCCACAATAAACTGATGTATGTTTCTACCTATGCATACCTATTTTCACTATGCAGTTACTGACGTATCTATTATTTTGTTTGTCCACCGTGTGCAGATGATGGGGCTCATGAGCCATTTTCACGTAAACTTCTTGAAGATAAGCCGCCTCAGATCACGTATGTTTAGAATTAGATCTTTTAAGTTTTTTATATATAAAAAGAAAAAATGTGTGTCTCAGTCTCATGATGTTATTGGTTGACTCTGCTGTGTATGGTTTTGAAATGCATTTAGAGAAGAGATGGTCCGTGGATACATGAGCAATGCTGAGCTTGAGGCTGCTGTACATGCCTTTGGAAGTCGTTGTTCTAATATCTCCAGGGTGTACAGGTACATGATGTATAATGTTTTACTTCTTTGTGATCATTACATTTGGAGCTTCTAAACAATCTTTTAAGACCATCAGTTTTTAAAGACATAAATGCCTGCATCATTGGTGGGTAGTCATATATGGTATATTGTAGAATTCAAAATCATTATCAATCATGAGAGAATCAACGATGCATATGCAGTTATCTTGATAGGTAAAAGCAAAAGGCTAAAATAAAAAAATGTCGCTTTCAAAAGAAAATCAATCATGAAATGCCAACTTAGAAACATAATTATATCCATAGGATACATGTATAGTTCTGTTTTACTTCAGATTGTTGAATTGTTCCATGTTCATTGTCCATGATTAGCCCTTTTTAAGCATTTCATAAATAACAGAATAATGTGGTTTCAATCTCTTTATTCTGTTCGTTTGTTATGCAACTTCGATATTTTCCTTGATTATCACAGTTTTTAAGTGTATTACTTATTTCTTCCTTTATTTCCTGCCCTCCAGTATTCTCATATGTTCACACTTCACTTACCTTTTGTTTCTTCTCTCTTTGAGGGATAACACAAACCTGTTATCAGCATTGGAAAGAGTGTGAATCATTTTCAATTGGTATGTAACTTAAATGGATGTACATTTTTGTATGTTTCTCTTAGTGTCAAATTTACATACTGGGGAACACTTCCGATTTTTCTTGTAGTGGGTGATTGAAATATCGGACAAGCCCAGGCAAAGAGAAGCTGAACCAGCATTCAAGGTTTGTGGTACCATTTTATTTAACGCTATTGAGTGGGGCTTTCCTTTTACGTAATTTGGAGAATGGAAATAAACTCCTGGTTGGAGATTTCCTGTGATGATCATCTCATTACATCAATTTCTTGAATTCGACTTCCATGATGCCATACCCTTTCTTTCTTTTTTCACTCTTGTTAATTCATTGGGGACTAACTCTTTTCCCCACATCTTGAGAACAGAAATGTTACCTATGTAGGCTCACACTTAACACATTTTTCTGAGTGGCAAACATGCAATCAAGTAATGCCATATTGACAATTACTAAGCTGAATTCCTATACTAGATCCATGCTTAAACACATGGTTTTCCTGCAACAAAGTGCATTGACAATTATTCTGCTGACTTGCTCTGTTGCTGGAGCTAATAACCTCTTATGTTCTTATTCAAATGAAACCAATGATGAATTCTCTAGGTTGTTTATCCTAATCTCAGTATTGAAGATAGCAATAATTTATATGTGATTTAATTTGTGCTACACATGCAGTTCATTGGAAATGTTCATGGTGACGAGCCTGTTGGAAGAGAGGTTCTTATGCATCTTGCAAATTGGCTGTGTGATAACTATCTGAAGGATTCACTGGTAAGCAACATTCCTCTGTTGTTACTTGCTCTTTGGTCACCCTGCAGTTTACCAATAGCGAACCTCTTGCAATTTTTAGCTTTGTGATAACTACTTCCAGTATTTTTTGAGTTGGTGTTCTGATGATATCATAATTTTGGTACAAATACAATAACACATGAAAGTTATTCAAAATATGAAGTATGAGATGAAATTCTAAAGGATGCTGTTTTTACTTAGTTTACAATATATTGTTCAACATTAAGATCCGGTGTTCCATGTAACTATGATGTATAGCAGAACATATTTTCACTAATCTGTGAAAATGGTTAACTGTATATGGAAATGTCAGCAGTTGAACTAATTTCTGTAGGCAACTCTCATTGTTGAGAACATGCACCTTCATATACTTCCGACAATGAACCCTGATGGATTTGCTCTTAGATGGCGTGGTAATGCAAACAATATTGATCTCAACAGGGATTTTCCTGACCAAGTGCGTACTTTATGTTGCACCTCTTTTCCTTATGGAAGCATCTACTTCCCTTTTTGTACTTCCTTTTTCCTTGTAGCCATTCAATTGACACTAGCCGAAATTGACAGTTCTTCTCCGTTAACAACGATATTGACTACAGACAGCCTGAAACTAGAGCCATTATGAATTGGGTAAAGCAAGAACACTTCACGGCTTCTGCTAGCTTGCATGGGGTAACTATTCTCACCTACTGTGGTTATAATATCACTTGTTGAAATGAGGTCCTATGGTTTTCTCTTATTTGATTTGGTTTTTCAGGGGGCTCTTGTTGCCAACTATCCATGGGATGGAACTAGAGACACAAGGTGTTTTCTTCTTCTACTTAATTACTTACATTCATTTTTTCAAGTATCTCAATTAATAGTGTTCTCTCTAAAACTTTTAAATATGTAGAAAGTCTGACAAGCTTTTCATGAAGTATTGCCCAAAAATTGTGGTAGCTTATGCACAATAGATTGTTGTGTTTGCCTTCTTTTATTTCTTTCACTATCTTCCCATGGTGCTAACGGTTATTTGAAGTTTGGATCGCAAGTAGGTGCCTTAATCTATTCTAATAAGATGTTGCTGCTGTTGGTTGCATTTTCATTCTTTGTATGAAAATGGTCTGTTTTACTATCACTTTGTCCTCTTGACACCTAAACAAAATTTTGACTCATTTTGCTCTGCCAAACTATTTAAACTGGGACAGTTCACCCACTAAGGAAAATATTCTATTTGCTTCTCCCTGTTCAAATCAAAGTTCAAAATAGCGGGATTTAGCGGCCGCTATAGCGCTATTTTTTTTTGAGCAAAAACCGTGGGGAAAAATCCCCTGGCGCTATAGCGCTATTTAGCAGTTCAGGAGGTCCGAGGCTAAGCTACGGCAGTTTTAGCGCTAGATTATTTTTTCCGCTATTAGTGGCTAATAGCGCGCTATCTCCGCTAAATCAAGGTTCATTTAGCGCCGCTATTCTGCACGGGCTTTCATTTTTGTCGGCCCAAATCACGCGCAGGCCCAAATCCCTGGGACATCTACCGATGGGAAGCTGTCACACGCATAACCCTAGCCATTCGACACCGTTCCTCCCGAGCTCGCGTGAGTGCTGGAGGCGGCGCCGCCGGATGCTGTTGCTGCTGTGACCGGCGAGGGGAGTCGTAAGTGCGGCGGCGGCGAGCTACGGCACCGGCTGCTGCTGTGGCAGCGACTGCAAAGGGCAGCGGCAAGCGGCGAGCTCACGGGAGTGCAAGTGGCAGCGCCTGCTGCTGTTGCTGCGACGGCCATGTCCCAGTCCCATCCAGAAGGGCAAGATTCTTCGAACTCTTTTCATTTTTCCTCTGTTCTTTACGTGTTGGGCTGCTGGATGTGAATGGTAGTGAGTAGTGAGTGACGTAGTGCTGCATCTCATTCTCATGGTGAATTGAATAACTGATTGGCTTAGGAAAAGGCCTGTGCGCCCTAGGAATAAATTCAGGACCGTGGCATCTCTGATGAAGCCTCGGCCTGCAGCCTCTACTTCTGAATCAGAGGAAAATCAAGATGCTATGATATTTACTGATACTGAAGATGATTAGGTGAGTACAACAAACTATTCAGATGCTGAAATGCATGTGTGATGTACTGATATATATCAGACTATGGCCTATGGCTCCATGCCTTATGTTTGTTTGTCTATCTGTCACTGTTTAGTTGATATGCAGTGTAATGTCTGTCAACTTTGTATGAACTTTGAACTCATGTGTGTATGTGTCTATGTGATATATGATGTATCATGTATGAAATATGAAGCTGTGATCTAATGTGTTAGTAAGACTTTGAACTATCTGTCCCTAGTTATTTGGTAATTGGTATTTGTAATGTCTTCATCTTCTATGTTTGTTATGTGTAAAATTACCTGATGTTTGACATATTTTTTGCTCAGCCGCTAAATGGCTTAGCCCGCTATAGCCTTTCTTAGCCTTTGGGAGAGGCAACCGCTAAGGGGCTTAGCCCGCTATTTAAAACTTTGGTTCAAATACTGATTTACTTTTGTATCATAAGGTATGTTGGCATCTATCAATTTGCAAATTTACACCAGCAACACAATGTGTACATGGCGAAGAAAAATCATTAGGTGGTGATTTTTTTGCCACCACGGTAACACTGAATTTCATTACGACAGCAACGAAATTACAACGTTCAAGTTTCATTAGGTGGGGGCTGTTTGACTTATTTAAAGAGTTTGGGTGAGCAGTTTAAATTTTGCGGCTGGGGGAGGTGTTCAAGGCAAGGACTGTCAAGTGTCGGGACATATTACCATCAACTTCATGCCTGACCGTCTGGAGCAGCTGATTAATAAAGTACTGTGAAGTGAACCATTAATGTAGAGTTTATGAGTGATTCTGTGTTGCCACAAACAACCGGATTTACACACACACAGGGTATCTCGCCTAATCCTCCATCAAGTCTCCCTCTCTCAAAATATCCAACGATGTGATGATAAGCCTATTTTTCTGAATTCTATCTGTGGTTGCTTTCTTTGATTTGCTGATTGTCACCACTGGTTTTTAGGGCCCAATGTGGCTTGGTTTCACATTGTAACATTCTCAACAAAGATTTGACTTCTTACAGCAAACACTACTACGGATGTCCTGATGATAAGACGTTCCGGCACATGGCATCTGTGTATAGTCGGTCCCACTACAACATGTCTTTGAGCAAAGAATTTGAAGGAGGGATAACAAATGGAGCATTGTGGTAAACAAACAATAGCAAGTTCATACTGCATATGAGATTTTCTTTATCTAGGTTGTGTACGTATGGGCTTTGAATCAAACAACATCATTGCTTGTGGTTCAGGTATCCAATATATGGTGGTATGCAGGACTGGAACTATATACATGGAGGCTGCTTTGAGTTAACTCTGGAGATTAGTGACACAAAGTGGCCAAAAGCAGATGAGGTACCTTTGCATCTAGTTAGGTTCCACTTCTACTGTTGCAGACGCAGAGCATTTGATAATTATTTTTCTGTTCTGTTGTTTATCCTATCATTTTGCTACAGCTTCCTGTCATCTGGGAACACAACAGGATGAGTATGCTCAATCTTCTTACAACCCTAATAAAGGTAATATGTTTCCACAGTAGTCTCTTTATGCACTGCAAAGGGTGATTTTTGCACTAATTGAAATGAAATGGTGTTGGTTAGTGAATTGAGGCACATGGTTGCTCATGTTTAGACCATGGTCTGGATCATGTACTGGTAACTAGTTCATAGTAATTTTTGTAGCTATCCATTTATTTTCTATTGTTAGAATATCTCCTTGGTACTTGTGTTAATCATTGCTGGTCTTTTATTAGTCCTAGGTACTTGTGCTAATTACCCCTAGTCCCCTAGCTGTATGCGCAGCCTCCCAGGCTGGCTTGGCCCTTTGGGCTTTCCTGTATTCCCTATATATATGTAATCCCTCCTGTAAATCAATCTCAAGTAGTACAAGCCTGTTGGCCTTCCTCTAATTATGGTATCAGCTTAATCCTGGACCTCTAAACCCGCTTCCGCACCCCTCGGCGTGCGTGCTCGTCTCGAGCCGCGCCCGACCTCTCGCGCTGCGCGCCTCCCTGGCCGCGCGCGCCCCTTCTCCTCGCGTCGCGACTGCACGCCTCCCTGGCCGCGCGCGCGCCCTTCCCTCGCGTCCATGGCTCCCTCCGGCAACTCCTCCTCCGGAGCCTCGGCCGTTGTCACCGCGGCCAAGCTCCGTGACGAGGCCCTCGCTGCCGCCAAGACGCTGGAGGATGAGGCCGCCTCCCTGCGCTCCTCCAACACCGAGCGCAGCACACAGCTCCAGACCGAGGCTGAACTCCTTAAGTCCGCCGCTGCCGCCCAGGAGCGCGTTCGCGTCGCCGCTACCGCCCTCGAGCAGGAGCGAGCGCAGGCCGACGCCCTGGAACAGCAAGCTGCTGCTCTCAGGGACCGCCTTCGTGCTGAGTCTCTCCGCGATGATGACTCCCACGACGACGACGACCGCTCCATCATCTCTGAAGCCGCGGCTGTTGCTCATCTACACAGCCAAGCCGCTGCCATCCAGAACATCAAGAACCTGATTCCAATCATTCTTGATCTTCAGTCATCCAACTACAGCAAGTGGCGCGGCTACGTCCTCCTCATCCTCGGCCGATTCGAGTTGAAGGACCACGTCCTCAGTGACGTCTCTCGCTTCGACGACCCGGCATGGTCCAGGATGGACTGTGTTGTCGTCTCCTGGCTCTTCAACACCATCTCCCCCGACCTTCTGGACGTCATCCACGAGCGCGACGGCATCTCCGCCCGGGCAGCATGGCTCGGCATTGAACAGCAGTTCCTCAACAACCGTGAGTCCCGCGCCATGCTTCTCGATGCTGAGTTTCGCACCCTCTCCCAGGGCGCTCTCTCCATTGACGATTACTGCCGCAAGATGAAGGGCATGGCTGATGCACTGGCTGATTTGGGCGAGTCTGTTCATGACCGTACTCTGGTGCTGAACATACTGCGAGGCCTCAACGAACGCTTCCAGTTCATGGCGCAGTTCATCACGCGCCAAAAGCCGTTCCCCTCCTTCGCGGACGTCCGCGCCGACCTGCGCCTGGCCGAGCTGAACATGGCGCCTTCTACACCTCCATCGGCACTCGTTACTTCTACGTCCAGCAAGCCGCCTGCATCACAGCCAGCCTCCGGACCTGCACCCCCACGTTCTCCACAGAACACGGGGGGGGGCTCGGCTGGCAGTGGCAGTGGCCGTGGCCGACGTCGTCGTGGCGGCCGTGGCCAAGGCGGCTCGAACAGCGGCTCACCTGGTGGTTCGCAGTGGCCTTCCGTCTTCAACCCGTGGACCGGGTCCATCCACATGTGGCCCGGGTCCACGCCTGGTGGCTCTCGCGGTCCTCCACCTCGCCCTAGCTCCTCACAGCAGGTACAGCAGCACGCGCAGATGCAGCAGCACGCGCTGGCAGCCGGCGTGCCTCCAGGCTACTACCACCAGGTGCCCCCTCAGGCGCCTCTTCCTGCCTGGACGCCTGCTGCACCCCCGACGCCCCCTGCATGGTCCCCTTGGGACCCTCAGTCCCTCGCCAACGCCTTCAGCACCGTCACCCTCACCCCGCCACCGAACTCATCGGACTGGGTGATCGACTCGGTGCTTCGTCTCACATCGCCTCCAACCCTGGTATGATTACCGCATCTCCATCCTCCTCCTTTCCTTCCTCCATTGTTGTGGGAAATGGCGCCACTCTCCCGGTTGTTGGCACCGGATACTCCACTCTTCCTGGCCCTTTCCATCTCAACAATGTCCTCATAGCTCCTGACATTATTAAAAACCTCCTTTCCGTTCGCAAATTCACCACTGATAATTCTGTTTCTATAGAGTTTGACCCTCTGGGTGTTTCTGTGAAGGATCTTCGTACCAGGAACACCCTCCTTCGATGTAACAGCTCAGGGCCCCTCTACACCTTGCAGCTCCCGTCATCGCCTTCTGGCCCTTGTGCTCTTGTGGCCACTCCTTCTCCAACTACCTGGCATCGTCGCCTCGGCCACCCCGGCAAGGCTGTTCTTCAGAACCTCGCCCAGTCCTCTTCAATTATCTGCAGCAAGTCTGAAGATAACTCCCTCTGCCATGCCTGCCAGCTTGGGCGCCATGTTCGCTTGCCTTTCACTAGTTCCTTGTCTAGAGCATCAAAATTTTTTGATCTGATACATTGTGATTTGTGGACGTCACCTATTATCAGTGTATCTGGATTTAAATATTATCTCGTTATTATCGATGATTGCTCTCATTTTCTTTGGACTTTTCCTCTTCGCCTAAAGTCTGACACCTTCACTGTCCTCTCCAACTTCTTTGCCTCTGTGCACACTCAGTTTGGCTGTATCATCAAGTCCGTGCAATGTGATAACGGTCGTGAATTTGACAACGCTGCCTCTCGTGCTTTCTTCCTTGCCAAAGGTGTTTCTCTCCGCATGTCCCCTACACCTCGCAGCAAAATGGCAAAGCCGAACGCATGCTTCGCACCACCAACAATGTCACTCGCACGCTGCTCTTCCAAGCCTCCATGCCCCCGTCTTACTGGGCTGATGCTCTTGCTACTGCCACCCACCTCATAAATCGCCTCCCCACCACAACGCTGAACATGAGCACTCCTTTCTTCGCGCTCTATGGCACTCATCCATCCTATCACGACCTCCGAACCTTCGGATGCACCTGCTACCCCAATCTCACCGCCACTGCCCCTCACAAACTTGCCCCGCGCTCTTCCTTATGCGCTTTCATTGGCTACTCTCCACGATCACAAAGTACAGTGCCTCGACCTCACTACCAACCGGGTCATCATTTCTCGCCACGTTGTTTTCAACGAAACAACGCTTCTTTCTCCTTCACCGCCCTCGCCACCTACACATGAACCGGATTTTCTAACGATGACGATTTTCCATCGGTCCTGCTCTTCTTGCAGTCTCCACAGAGCTACGGGCACCATACCAGTAACTTGCACCATGCGTGCCCCTCTCTGTCGGTGTCGGGACCGGGCACACCGGTGTCGAGATCACCCCACCCGGCTTCACCACGCCCACGCCATCTCTCTCAGTCTGGCGCGCCCACGCTCCCTTCATCATCGCGCGCCATCAGACAAAGGCCAACAAAGACCAGCGCCCTCAGACAGCGCCCCATCAGTGCCCTCTCTGACAGCGCCCATGGTGCCCCGTGCAGCGCGCCCCGGCTCCACCCTTCACAGAAGCCACCGTCGTCCCATGTCTACAATCGACGTGCTCCTACATCCAGCACGCCACCCGAGTCCCCCTCCGGGGCTGGGGCTCCTCCTCGACGCTCCAGCATGGTTCCCTCTCCACCGCGCTATGTCAAGAGTGGCCCTGCACTGCCAACAGGAGCTGTCTCCATCCCGCCCATCGCCAACTCTCATGGCATGGCGACCCGCGCGAAGTCTGGGTATCGACAGCCTCGCCTTGCTCTACACACCGAGGCTCTGTCCCCTCTGCCGCGGTCCTGTCGGGATGCTCTTGCCAATCCTCATTGGCGTCGGGCCATGGAAGAAGAATTTGCCGCTCTCCTGGACAACCATACTTGGGATTTAGTACCTCGGCCTGCCAAGGCTAATGTCGTCACCGGGAAATGGATCTTCAAACACAAGTTTCATGCAGATGGCACCTTGGACAGATACAAGGCTCGTTGGGTGCTCCGTGGGTTCACACAACGCCCCGGAGTGGATTACGATGAGACTTTCAGTCCCGTCGTCAAGCCGGCTACAGTTCGTACTGTCCTCACTTTGGCTCACTCTCGGGATTGGCCCATCCATCAACTTGATGTGAAGAACGCCTTCCTCCATGGGACTTTGTCAGAAAAAGTTTACTGCTCTCAGCCCACTGGCTTTACTAATCCTGCCCTTTCTGGACACGTCTGCAAGCTCAACAAATCCCTATACGGCTTAAAGCAGGCACCGCGCGCATGGCACAGCCGGTTTGCTTCATTTCTGCTATCACTGGGGTTCACTGAAGCCAAGACAGACACATCTCTGTTCATATATCGACGTGGCACCGAGACTGTCTACTTGCTTCTGTATGTGGACGATATTGTCCTCACTGCCTCCTCTGAGCAGCTCCTCAACCGTGTGATTGATGCCCTGAAGAAGGAGTTTGCCATGAAAGATCTCGGTCCCCTGCACCACTTCCTCGGCATGGCAGTTCAGCGACACAGGGATGCTCTCTTTCTCTCACAACGACAGTACACTCTGGACATTCTTGCCCGACATGGCATGAGCGATTGCAAACCTTGCTCTACCCCTGTTGACACATGTGCTAAAGTGCCTGCAGATGCTGGTCCTCCTGTTACCGACCCTACAGACTACCGCAGCCTTGTGGGAGCTCTTCAGTACCTGACCTTCACTCGACCTGACATTGCATACGCAGTACATCAAGTTTGCCTCCACATGCTTGATCCTCGGGAAGTTCATCTAGTGGCTGCCAAGCGCATTCTTCGCTACCTCCAGGGCACTCTCAGCCATGGCCTGGTTATTCCCAGATCTACTCCAACACAGCTAGTCGTGTACACCGACGCTGATTGGGCCGGCTGCCCCGACACCCGCCGCTCCACCTCAGGCTACGCTGTCTTTCTTGGAGGCAGCCTTGTTTCCTGGTCGTCCAAGCGCCAGCCCACCGTTTCTCGGTCCAGCGCCGAGGCGGAATACCGTGCCGTTGCCAACGGTGTCGCTGAAGCCTCCTGGTTACGGCAGCTTCTCCAGGAACTTCATCACCCTCTGGAGTCTGCCTGCCTCGTCTACTGCGACAACGTCAGCGCCGTCTACCTCTCCACCAACCCTGTTCAGCATCAGCGAACCAAGCACGTGGAAATCGACCTCCACTTCGTCCGGGAACGGGTCGCCATTGGAGCCGTCCGTGTTCTTCATGTTCCAACCACGTCGCAGTTCGCCGATATCTTCACCAAGGGGCTTCCCTCTTCTGTTTTTATGGACTTTCGCTCCAGCCTGAACGTTCGTTCTACCGACGTTCCGACTGTGGGGGGGTGTTAGAATATCTCCTTGGTACTTGTGTTAATCATTGCTGGTCTTTTATTAGTCCTAGGTACTTGTGCTAATTACCCCTAGTCCCCTAGCTGTATGCGCAGCCTCCCAGGCTGGCTTGGCCCTTTGGGCTTTCCTGTATTCCCTATATATATGTAATCCCTCCTGTAAATCAATCTCAAGTAGTACAAGCCTGTTGGCCTTCCTCTAATATCTATAACTAAAAATGCAGGGCAACCAAATTTTTGGAAAGCAGCTGGTTCAGGGTACCCCATTTTGGCTAAGCTGCTCTGAGTTCTGAACAAGCCCAACCAATTTTTCATAGAGTTTCTCATTGCATTCACTGTCACTGCAATGGCATGAGCACTAGGAAGCGTATCCTGCTCTGCTTTCCTTTTTCAACAAATCTTTCACTGTTCGTGATGGATAGCTGTTCTTCTAATTGGGTCATTGGGATGATGTTTTTGCCACTACTGTCTCTAGTTCTGACCAGTATGTTTTTTGGGTTCTATACCCCAAAGAGCTTCTCACCATGTCTGTTTAGCCAGGATTTTGTGGGATGTGTTTCTTCTTATTTGGTAAGAACAGAGTTTATCAAGTAATATTGCAGTTATTCCAATTGCATTACAAGATATCCTTATCATTGTCTTTAAACGAAAAAAAGGGAATTCTATTTGGACTGGAGGAATTCTGTTGAGTGTGCCCCCTGGTGCCACCATCCATTCTTAGTCCCACAGATTTACCTTATGCCCTGTATTAATTGGAGAAACCTTGTGTTTCCTCTATCTGCTTCTGGGAGTTTACCCTTTTTTGTTCTATCTGCAAGAGTTACCAGAGTGTATCTGGCTGTTCCATCATATTGACTCTAGTTTTAGTCAGGAGTTCATGGAAGGATATTTGCAGCAGATACTGGCAGGCCTATACCTGGCTCAGTGATGATAAAGGGCATTGATTCCAAGGTTAGTTCATTTTGGCTGCACTAATTATGTCATGTTAGAATGGATGAACTGAGAAATGAATATAGATTGTTGATATGGGTTTTCAGACTTACATAACTTTTTTTGGCTATAGGTAAGCGCGAGCAGTACTTTCGGAGATTACCATCGAATTGTTGTGCCTGGTGAGACATATGAAGGTAAATTCTTTTCATTAGTTTATCATCCCATATGCAACACAGCATTTATGTAAATTGTTTTCATTAGTTTATCATCCCATATGCAACACAGTGAAGGTAAATCCTTTTTTTTGGTAGTAAGACAAAGTTGACCACCCATTAGATAGACAGATGAAATCAATAGCCTGAAATGCATACCATTGCTACTGTACTGTCCCTCTATAAAATCTGTGACATTTCTGCCCGTCATTCGTGGCAGTCGTGGCATCAATGGAAGGCTTCCAGCAAAAATCTACACGCATCATGCTGGAGCAGGAAGCTGTCAACCTGGATTTCATTTTGGACCCGGACGGAACTGATGGGCAGATGAAGCTGCCCCGTAATGACGGGGGCTGCCACTGTGACAATGCCAAGCTGTTCCATGTTCAAGAAGCTCACCTCTGGTTGTATCTTCTTATCGTATCCGTTCTCCTGACCCTCTATTTGGTCTTCAAGAGAAAAACGGCGTCAAGGTTGGCATCAAAGTTGCTGGCATATAGATACTCATCACTCAGGCGGCCTGTTGCTGTATAAGAGGAATTTTGTTCCCTAGGACAGTTTTGTAACTCGCATAGGCTCTTACTAAAACGGCCCAGTTGTTGTATAAGTTGAAGGATGAGCAATGTACCATGGAAATGGAAGTTTTGCATCGATGGAAACTATCACAATCTCAAGGTATATTGTGTGGTGCAGATGAGGGAGGATGTTGTATAGTTTTTCTTTTGGGGGTGGGGGTGGGGAGGGGGCGTTGTTATGTGACGATGCTCTACCTTCTAGGAAGCTGCTATTTCATTGGCCATTGTTGATATTCAACGAAAGTACATCTAGCACTCTTACCTTCCTGTTGACAACAAAATGCGGTATCATGAGCAACAAGAAATACACGTCAGTTCCCACTTTGCAAAGCACCTATAGGAGTTACTAAGTCAAATATGCTTATGCGTAACATGATGGCAACTACAGAAGCAAGATTGGGTTGGTGTAAGCAGGCTCTGCCTTTACATTATTGTACCACATACTACTGACTTTATTGGGCTGCTAACATGAAAAAAACCATGCTGGTCTCCGATTTGGTCCTCGAGGATCTGCATAACATCGCGTTTGGTCCCTAGTAGGATCTGCAAAGCTTGTAGCGTACCATGGATGGAGCCACATTCATTCTTTAATCCAAGAAAATGCAGCCTCTAACAAATTACAATACACAAAGATAAATCTATCTATAATTGAAACAGGAGACATGAAATTTTCATTTTCATGGCCTGAAGAGGTAGATATTTATCAGTTACATAAATACCCGACTGGCAATATACAAAGAGAAATCTATCTACAGTCTGCCAATACCTCAAGTCTAAAATCTTCATGGCTTGAAGAGATATTTTGCTTGGAATATACAAAGAGAAATTTGTCTACAATATGCCAATACCTCAAATCTGAAATCTTCATGGCTTGAAGAGATATTTTGCTTGGAATCTAATTTGATTGGGTGGTACCACGCGAAGCAACGTCATCTCCTTATCGCAGCCTCCTTTTCATTCTCATATTCCCCAGGTAGCTCTAGCCGGACACGAACGAGCCCGGCCAGTTCTCCCCGGCAATAGAAGAACTAGACCGGGCCTTCAATGGTCACGACACTACTACTACCACTACAACTACAAGTCAGCCCCACAGCATCAATTTGTTCTCCCTGATCATCGATAACAAGGAAAAAAACAGCACAGATAAATAAAAGTACGTTTGCAACGACGATATCGACCCTGCAGAGAGGAAAAAAAAATCTGCAGTTCTAGATGATGAAGTAGAGCAACAGCTTATCTCTGAGCTGGCCGTGCATGGCATGCACTGTTACTGTCGATGTAGGCACGTATATGCACGCACCACGGTCATGCATTGGCTAGCCTGCACCCTGCAACAAAGGGTATATATGTACGTGGACAGTGCCTCCAAATAGCTAGAACGGCTAGCTGTATGGGGTCGTCCAGCCATCCAGGGCATGCAGATCGACTGCAGAGGCAGCCGTTAGCAACAGCACATCCAAAAAGATTTTTTTTTATTTTAATACTTTTTGAAAACTAATTTTAAATCTAACACTGTTTTTTTTAAACTAATACTTTTGGCCGCGCCTATTGCCATGGCGCGGCCAAATGCCTGTGCCGCGCCATGCTTGGTGGCGCGGCAGCGGGCTAACGTGACGACGACCGGAATCGACGACCGGTGACGTGGCAGGGCTTGCCGCGCCACCGATCTTGGCGCGGCAGTGCCGCGCCCTGATCCGTGGCTTGGCAGAGCCGAATAAAACCCCCGCGACCAGTCCCGCTCTGCCCGAGCAGCAAGACCGCCTGCCCGCGCCTGGCCGCCGCGCCCGTCGCCCGCCCGGCCCTCCGTTACCGCCTCCCTCCCTTCCCTTCCATTCCCCGGCCGCCTCCCCCCCTCCTCGTCCTCGTTCAAGGTAATGACACACCTTTTATTTTCGTTTCAATGGTGGATATGATATTATGAATGAGAGTTAAGGTTACGAGGAAAATTATGTTTGGGAAATATGGGCTACGGTTTGAAGAAATATATTAGTTTGATTTTATCAATGTTAAGGTTAATTATTTAGTTAGAAGTATGTTTACCATGTAGATGGAAGACATGTTTCGGGAGCAGTTGTGGCGAAAACGGGGTCGTCCTAGAGAATTGTACCCCGACGAGTCTAGCAAAGATGCCCCTATCCCTCCTGAACTCCCTGTCCCTAACTGTGACTGTGGTCGTCCGGCCGACGTGTTTCAATCGAGACATCCGGACACAGCGGCTCGTTGCTTCTACACATGCAATCGTTTTAATGTAAGTAATTGTTTCCATATGTTTTTTTTCTTTATTTGTATTACTAGGTTACTAATATTTTGTTGAAATTTTGTTGTGTAGGTCCATGAGAGGTGTTTTTTCTTTCAGTGGATCAACGGTGCAGACAAGTTTGACCCTAGGTACCTCCTTTTCGATGATTGGTGGAGAGGACGACATCCATGAGAGCACTTCAAGCGGTGGGTTCCACCTCCCCATAACCCCCTTCAATGACGGCTAAGGAGAAGCACTTAGCCACAGTTAGACGACTCGAGGAACCTCCTCTGTGCGATTACGGAGATCGAGCTGTGATAAACCCTGAGAATACGTTAGAGTTTGTGTGTCCAAACAAGCATGAAGTAAGTGCAAAGTGTATGTGTTGAAATATTAAGCTATATGTGTTCATGTACTAATGTCATGTTTTTTAAGTGTATTCAATGGCGAAGTGTCGTTTTAAGGAGTGGTTGTATGGTCCTAAGAACAAATGGCCCGAAGAACCACCAAAGGCAAAGCAAAAGAAGAAAGAAATGTTAATTTACAAAGCACCTCCAGTAAAGTGCGAATATGGTGTTAAATCCAACTACGGTCTAGTCCCTTCGGAGCTTGGAATAGGCCATTATTGCGGCCATATAGTTGACTATGATGAGGTTGGTTATTTTTGTGGTAATCATGAAATCATATTTTGTTTCTTTTGCTAAGACATATATGATATAATTTTTCGTTTGAACAGAGCACTAGGAAATGCAGGTGGGAATGTTATGATGGTCAAGCTAAGTTCTTGGATGAACTGAAGGGAAATCAAGTAATTGCACGGAAGAGGCGATATGGACCTGACTACGTCAACCTTTTTGTTAAACATCACAAAGACAAGATACGTGAGTTTGCTAGACAACGCGGTATTTATAACCCGATCGACGTTGGGCTTGACAAATGGGGATTGGAGAAACGGATGACGTTAGAGGAGGAGAGGGCAAGGAAGGAGGCAAGGGAGGAGACAAGAGTACAGATGCAGGTCTTGAACGAGCATGTTGTTGCATTATGTGTCAGTGAGTGTTTGAAAACCTTTTTTTTGGTTGCCTGATTTTAAATGTAATATAATCGCGTTGCTAACTAATTGCATTTTATACATGAAGGGATTGGATGCAGCGAGAAACATGCTGCAGAGGTGGCTCATGTAAGGTACGAGGAAAGGAAGTTAGATGAGCACAAAAAACGAGCTGGTCGCACCGTTGAATCACCGATTGTGTTGTCTGATGAAGGGGACGAGGATGAGGACGACACTGCCAGACTCAGCGAGCTCATCGCTCTAGCAGAGGCGGGCTTGCAGGCGGAGGAGGCTGAAGATGACACTGGTAGACTGAGCGAGCTCATCGCTCTAGCAGAGGTGGGCTTGCAGGCGATGGAGGCTGAGGACGACACTGCCAGACTGAGCGAGCTCATCGCTCTAGCAGAGGCGGGCTTGCAGGCGGAGGAGAATGACGACACGTTCTTCACTCAGGCCGCAGAGGCCGCAGATGAAGCGGAGGCCGCTTACTACAGGCGAAAGGCAGATCAGGGCAATGCAGGTGAGCCTAGCCATAGCAATAGGGTTGTGGTTGAGGATTGGTACTCGGACGACGAGTTGCTTACTCAGTATGTTTTTGACTGAGGGTTTTTGATTGCGCCGTCTGTTAGTTCCATGCTTTATTAATGATCAATGTATCTATGTACTAGAAATTCCATTGTGTTGTCTTATATTTCATTTGAACTACTGATGTATTGTACCCATGTATCATGTACTCAGATTACCCATGTTCGATCTTAACATCTGTTTGTATCATGCGTTGAGAATTTCTAAAACGAACGAAATCGACTGAAATTATCTCCAATACAGCGCCATAGCCCACTGGTTCAGCCGCGCCATAGCCTAGGTTCTGCCGCGCCATAGTCCACGGCGCGTCAGTGACGCGCCATAGACCACGGTGCGGCAGTGACGCGGGCAGAAACTGACCAGCCTCAATTGAGCCGCTGTCGATGCGCTAAAAAACTACAAGTGCTGCTGCGACCGTGCGCAAGTTGAAACGAATATGAAGCAATAAATGGACGACAAGTTGCCACATAACATTTTCATTGGTTTATGAGTCTACAAGTTTTCGTCGACAATATTCGTTCGACATAAGTTCAACGTAACGAACTAAGTCCCAGGAATATAAGGATCCCTCGAACGCCTCTTGGAAACCTCGTCGTTCGGTGGAAGAAGTGGGTCGTCGAACTCCACCTCAAGAAGGGGGTACATCTGGTGCGGCATGGGAGGGGCCATCCTGTTACAAATTGATAAACAAAGGGTTAGAGTATTCAAATTAACAATATTCAGATTAACATTATGTAGCATTGTAAAATTTAAACTACTTGTTATGCAATACGAACACAATATGAAAACACCTGCTGCCCTCGTCTTCTATGCATGCTAGCCTTGTGACCAGATTGTTTATAAACGGAGCAAAGATTCTTGCCACGGGTCTCGTTGAAGTCTCCCCCGCCGTACATGTCTTCGCCGTACCCTCTCATAGCGTCCATGTCCCCCTTGAGTCGCTTCTTCTTCCTCCTACCATTCCCTACCTTCATTAGATCCAGATGCAGCACATAGTCAACCATTATAAGGTGGTCACTGTGTCGGGTCAAGGTATGGCTCGAAGCTCATCTCTCAAATACTAACGGTGTTCGAACGGAGATAC